TTGTATTGTCATTTCCTGTACATGATGAGCCGTCTTATTCTTGCTGCTTGCAAGATTTTCCTTTGTTTGGCTCTTGTATTAACTTGGTAGTTTCACTAAGTTGTATTCAGGTATGTCTCTGTGTTCATTTTACTTTGGTTTGTTGAACTTATTGGAGCTATGGATTCATGTTTTCATCAAATTTGAGAAATTTTTATCAATTGTTTTCTGAAATATTATTGATTGAAAAGTATACATTTTATGGTGGCTCAGTCAGTTGAGAATCCAACTCTTGATTTCAGCACAGGTAATGGTCTCACAGTTGTGGAATGGAGCCCTGCATTGAGCTCTGCCCTGGGCATGGAGCCTGCTTGAGATTCTCTATGTCCCTCTCCCTCTGCCCCTCCCCCACTCATGTGGGTGAGCACACTCTCTCTCAAAAAAACAAAAAACAACAACAAAAAAACCCCTTTACATTTAGTTAATAGATTATAGGAATTCTGGGTCCTGTTGTATTTTTTGTTTGTTTGTTAGTTTATTTATTGTGGGCTGTTTATTTTTTAGTAACTTGCCTGTACTTTGTGAAATCAGTCTGGTCTCCTTTGTAGTACACAATTGCTGATGTCTCTGCTAAGTTTTTTAATTCTTATTCTTTAGGCTGGCTTCCTTAGAGGTCTTTCCTGTGTCTGCATAGCTTAATTGTTAGCTAATGATATGGGCAGAGGTGGTAAAGGCTACCACCCTTTGCTGATTGGTCTGTGGGTAGGATTTAGAATACAAAGTTGGAGCCAGTTTTCAACTCTTTGTTGGTTTTACTTTTTTTTTTTTTTAATTTTATTTTTAATCTCTACACCCAATGTGAGGCTCAAACTCACGACCCTGAGGTCCAGAGTCACCTGCTGTACCAACTGAGCCAGCCAGGCACCTTGGTTTCGTTTTATGCCAGGCTTTCTCAGGTCTTCCTAATAAATACATACCTTTCCATTTAGCCAGACTTGTAAGCTTTTCGCAGACCTTCTGTGGTTTTCTCATTTACATGATCTTTCTATTAATTTTCTGACTAGTTAGGCACTTATCCTAACCAGGACCTCTACCAACTTCAAAATTTCCCTATTTATTCACAATGAAGTCCATCACTTTTATCCACCAAATCCATGGGTTTTTGCTGCCCCACCCTGAAATGAGTCCACCCTTTTTGCCAACAAAGCTGTTGGATTCTTTTTGCTAGCTTTATGTTGGCAGAACTGCCAGTCTCATTATTCCTGCTGGCAGTGGGTGGTCTGGAGCAACCTCAGGCAGACAGGTCTAAGCCTCCCACTGTTCTTACCTGTAACTGTAGCATTTATTCTAGAGCAAACACTTCTCAATTTGCAGGCTGTCTTTGGTTAGTTTCCTGTGCTCCAGAATGGTTGTTTTGGATAGATTTGTCCAGCTTTATACTTGATGTTCGTGTATGGGAATTGCCAACCCCTTCATGCCTCTGAGATAACTATGTATGTATGTATGTGTGTGTATATATATATATTTTGCAGGTAATTTTTACATTACTTACAAAGCTTCCTAAGAAGTTTTGGTGGTATTTTGATTAGATCTACATTGACTCTATAAGTTAATTTTCAGAATATCAACATATTTACATTGAGATTTCTCTCTAGGAACATGGCATTTATCTCCATTTATTTGGACTTATCCCTCAGGAAAATTATTTAACATACATATAGGATTTACTTTGTTAGTAAATAGCTTTGTTAGTAAATACTTTGTTAGTAAATAGCTTCTTTGTTAAGGTTATTCTTAGGATTTTTAAAGGTTTTTTGCCAATTACTAATGCAATGTTTTTTTCCAATGTATTTTTCTAATCGTTTACTGCCAGTTTGTAGGAAGGTTAGTTTTTATGAGTTTGTATTAGCTGATCTTGTATATAATTGTCTTGCTGAACTTACTTCCCTTATAGTTCTAATAGTTTGTCAGTTTGTTATTTTGGTTCTTTCAGGTAATCTAATTATTTGCAAATAATGACAATTTTATTTCCTTATAATCTGTACTTATATTTGTTTTTAAAATTCTATTGTATAGGCTACGATCTCTAGGAAAATAGTACAATAGTAGTCAGTCTGGCTTAGTGACTTTGCTAGAAATATATCTAATGCTTCACCATGAAGTGTGATGTTATATGAGTCCTTTTTAAGTAAAATTTCTCTTTTATGCCTAGTATCAACTGATATTTTGGCATGTAATGAAATTAAATTGTTTTTTATCTTTTCATTTCCTAGTATGATAAATAAGAAATAATGGTATTTGATCAAGATGCATTATAATTTTAATATTTTCCTCAATTCAGTTTGCTAATTTTATGATTTTTGCATGTAATTCATAATAGAGATTGGTTTATAAAGAACAATGCCTTAATAAACCAGACATTCATTCCAAATTAAAAGAAATGTAGATGGGAGCACTTGGGTGGCTCAGTGAAGCTCTGTGCTGACAGCAGGGAGCCTGTTTCAGATTCTCCTCTCTCTCTCTCTGCCCCTCCCCCACTCATGCTCACATGCACTGTCTCTCTCTCTTTTTCAAACATAAATAAATAAAATACACATTAGGGGAAAAAAAAGAAATGTAGATGTCCCCATCTTCAGTCCCCTTCTGAGTTTTTCTGTTTACTATAGTTTACTATTAAAGCCTTTCTTTAAGAGGTATGTTTCCCATATCATATTTTTTTTAACAAAGGAACTTCAAGGATTGTTTAACATTTGTTTGTCTTTCTCTTTGATATATTTAGTCTCTCTTTTCCTTTTATTGTAAGCTTTGTGGTATTCTTCATGTTTTTCTCTTCATTCTAGTCCCTTCTGTCACCTGCTCTGTAAAGACTTTCTTGGCCCTTCCTCTTCCCCATTTCTCCCTGAAGAGTTAGCCTTTTTTAAAAAATATAGTGTATTATAAATTAAATCATAAATGTATATGTGTATATATGTATGTATGTGTATTTCTATATGTATGTATATATATGTATATACATATGTAGTTCTCTTAATTATATCTTTGCTATAATACCATAATTTTCCTGTTACTTTTGGTTATAAGGGTAGTCTCATTTTTGGTAGTTAAGGCTTAGTCTTACATGTTTTTAAAAACTTTTCAAAATTCACTTCACTTGTAGAGATTCTGAGGGATTAAGGGCGTTCTGACTGCACATACTTTTCCCTTCTTCCATGTGTTGGGGCAGAGAGGAAGGAGAGGAAAAAAGGCAAACATAATATTTAACTGGGTGAAGTTGTCATCTTCTCCTTTTAGGTTGTGGCTGTCTCTGGCTAACAGTGACTGGTCATCATGCCCTGTTGTCGGTCATTTAAAGGCTGGCTCATTGCCACACGTAAGATCCTTCCTGGCCCAACCTTTTGGCAGCTCTCTGAACTTAGAACATGCAAAAATTACCATCTTTTGTGCTTAGTTTAGGCCTTATGTGCAATTCTCGGACTATAGGAAACTCCTGTTCAGTACTCTGTGAAATTTATTTTGAAGTCAGTGTTCCACGATCCAGTAGGAAAATAACAGTCTTCCAGAAGAAGGTATTAGGTCATGGAGATATTACAGAACACCTCTTCAGTGCAGTTTCATACTTAGAATGTTTATTCTGTATTCTGAAATAATTCAGCTTCTAGGAAACTCCATCTCAGCATGTTATTCTAGAGCTGTGCCAAATGTAGTATTTAAATGTAAATTAAGTCTCCCTCTCTCTCTGACCCTCCCCCATTCATGCTCTGTCTCTCTCTGTCTCAAAAATAAACGTTAAAAAAAATTTAAAAAAAGAAATGTAAATTAACTTAAATTTACGTTAATGAAACTTAAATAAAATAAAAATTTAGTTTTTCAGTCACATTAGCCACATAAAAAAAACTTTTTTTGAGTTTACTTATTTATTGAGAGAGAGAGTGCAGTCGGGGATGGGGCAGAGAGAGAGAAGAGGGAATCCCAAGTAAGCTCAGCACCGTTATTGCAAAGCCTGATTCAGGGCTCAGACTCAAAAACTGTGAGATCATGACCTGAGCTGAGACCAAGAGTCTGTCACCTAACCAACCGAGCCACCCAGGCACCCCACATTAGCCACATTTTAAGTACTTCCTTAGCCACATACAGCTAGTGGCCGCTGTATTGAATAGCACAGAACATTACCCTCATTGAGAAAAGTTCTGTTAGATATTGCTTCTTTAGACAATAGAGTCAGGATATTTTTGTAACCACAGGAAAGTCAGAGATACATGGTCAGTCATTTACACCAACCAGTTAGGCTTTCACAGGCTTTTTTTTTCTTTCTTGCCCATATGAAGGAATTTTATAAGAGGGAAAAAGAGCACACTCCTGTATGATGCACTGCTTTCAAATTCATCTGATAGTTAGCTTTTCTGGTGGAAGCTTCAAGTAACTGCTACTGCAAACATATTTGCCAGCAACGGCATCCAAAGTTCAAACATTTCTACCCACCAGAGACAAATTTCTACCCACCAGAGACAAATTCCCTAGTTCATCCTTCCTGTTTCCTTTCTTACTCTTCCCTTGTTTCTCAGGTGAATGTAGGCACAACTTCAGTCCCAAGACAAGGTAAGGCTGGCATACATAGAAAGGCGTGTGTGTGTGTGTGTGTGTGTGTGTGTGTGTGTGTGTGTGTGTGTGTAAATTTTGGAACAAGTGACTTATTTTTTAGAAAAAAACAATTTTTTTTTACCAAGCCCTTAGATATCATTTAATTGAATGCCTGCCCCCATTTTACGTATAAGTAAACTGAAGCTAGAGAAAATGATTGCTCAAGATGGTATCAATAGTTAATGGTAAATCTGGAGCCAAAACCTGTGTTCATTGACATACTAAATCATTTGCTATTCCCATTTTAATTTTTTATTCACTACTAACAATTGCTGCAGATTCAATGACAAGAATTTAGAGGTAAGACTATTATAATGCAGTTTTTATTTTTAAAATGTTGCTTTTTACATGTTTTAAAGTTTTGGTAATTGTAATTTTTACAGATTGAAGAAGAGGAGAGGAAAAAAATAGAAGATATGAAAGAAAATGAACGAATGAAAGCAACTAAAGAATTGGAAGCCTGGAAGGAATGTCAAAGAAAAGCTGAAGAACAAGAAAGAATTCATAGAGAAGAGAAATTCTGTGAACAAGAAAAGCAAATTGAAGAAGAGAGAAAAAAATTAAAACATAAAAGCCATACTAGAATTTCAGCATCTAGAAATCTTGCCACTAAAGGTACAGTGATTAATATTTTCTGGGAAAGTGGGGCCTGTTGGTGAAGTGTATGTGTCACTTTTTATTTTCATAATCTATTTACACTATTAGGTCATTATTTTGGTATATAGAGAATAAGTACTATAATATAAGGCTAAGGTGAAAGATCTATTTCTTCTTTTAGGAAGTAGTGACATTTTCAAAATACAATGAGCAAGGATTCAGTGTTGGTTTTGCTTGTGTGCTTTATTTTGAAATGTATGCAAGTGTTGTTAAATACATGTTTAACTCAGGTCCAAAAAGACTTGGAGTGGACTAGCAGCGCCAGGAGCATTCATTTATTTCTTTAGAGATAAGAAACTAGGAATCTCATTAAAATACATTTTCGTCACATGACTGAGGAACATGAGTACCCTTACACAAACTTAGTTGCAAGCAAACAAGGGTTTTCCTGGCCTTCGATCCTGATGTGTTTAGAAATAGGTAAAAGAACATATTTCTTTATTGAAAGCTAAGAGTTTGATTTTATCTGATTTTAGAATATTAAACTTTGCTTTGGGTATATTTCGTATATTTTGTAAGTGGAACATTTTGTAGCAAAATCACTTATGTAATAACAATAATTAACATTTATTGGGTGATTTCTCTATGCCTGGTGATTTTATTGATTGTGTGACTCAGCCTTCACAACAACACTTTGGGCCAAGTGCTGCTATTCTTATTAGAGGAAGTAGATATTCAGAAATGATAAACACCTACCCAATAAGTAAACTTGTGGGATTTGAGCTCTATACTCTTTCTTCTAGGCTATATGTCTTTACCTCACTTTAAGTGAGGTTGAGTGTGTTGAAAAGTCATTAAATGATCCTATGATTTAAGAACCATGATTATTCCCATTTTCCAGGTGAGAAAAGCCATAGAGAGTATTACTAGCCCAAAGTAACGCTGCTCATAAATGGTAGAGTCAGAATTTGGACTCAGGTGATCAGGCTCCAGAGTAGGTGAAGATCATTGTTGTGTTATATTGCTACACAGATAAAACAGGCAGATTAGCCATGTTCATTATTTGATTCATAACATATTTTGGCAGGGTTTGTTTGTATGAAGGAGACATTTGCAATCAGAAATGTGTTAGGGAAGAAGTTCTCAAAGTGTATAATACTGGTTTGAAAAAATATTACCTTTTAAATGTTTGTTGCCTAGCATCCCAAAGCCTTAAAATAACTTTGAAGAGTGACTCAGTTTGTGCTTAACCAAAATATTACTAATGAAGAAATAGCAAAACCTTAGAAGTTTTAATTACCAGTTCCATATTATAAAGCACATTCCCCTAATTTTATCTCTTAATGTGAAGCTAGGAGTCTATACTGTGATTCAGTTACTTTGCAGGGCATAGGAGTTAAATGTGTGTGTGAGATCCATGCTCTTCTTGGACCTAGAACTTCAATATTGGGTGATGTCATTTTGTTGAAAACTACTTAGTATTTTATATTAAGGTGATTATAGAAGTAAAAAATTTCCAGAGGCACCTGGGTGGCTCAGTAGGTTAAGCATCTGACTTGAGCTCAGATCATGATCTCCTGGTTTGTGAGTTTGAGCCCCACTTCGGGCTCTGTGCTGACATCTCAGAGCCTGGAGCCTGGTTCGGATTCTGTGTCTCCCCCTCTCTCTGCCCCTCCCCTGCTCATACTCTGTCTCAAAAATAAACAAACATTTTTTAAAAATTAAAAAAAAAAGAAAGTCCTTATCTCATAGAGATACCTACTGAAATATGTATGGATAAAAAAAATATGTCTGAGATTGGCTTCAAAATATATGTGAAACTAGATAGAAGATGAAGTGATATTGGCCAGGAGTTGATAATTGAAGTCAGGTCATGAATGCATGATGGTTAATTATTCTATTCTGCCTACTTTTATATATGCTTGAAATTATTTATTATAAAAAAATAAGGAACAAAGCATATTGAATTATTTTTATAAACAAAGTAATTTTAAATTAGTAAAACAAAAAAAACCTCATTTCCCCAGCCTGTCTTGTAACTCGATGTAGCCAGGTGACAAGCTCTGGCTGATGATATGCAAAAAGAAATCTGCTAAAGATTTATAGAAAAGTATTACTCCTTTCTGCTTGCTTCTCCTTTCCTTTTCCTACGTAAGATGAAGGTCTTTGCAGAAAGTTCATTAGCTATCTTGAGACCACAAAGAGGCAAAACATACATTAAGAATGATGGAATAGGGAAGAAGAAGGAGCTTGCAACATTAAAGACATTGGAAAGCCAGTACCTCTGCACTGAATTACCTTCCTACCTTCCTTCAAGCTTGTTAAGTGAAAAACAAAAACAAAAACTCATTCTTGGTTAATCAACTGTAGTCATGTTTTCTCTTCACACAGCTTAGAGAACTTTTGACTGATAGAAATGGATAATGTGCAAATTTGGTTTAGCATTTGAAAATTATTCAATGTAATGAAGAATATTAACACAGTAAAGGAAAAAACATATGATCATTTCACTATTGCAGAAAGGTATTTGATAAAATCCAACACCCATTTATGAAAAAAATTGCTCAGCAGATTAGGAGTAGAAAGGTACTTTTTTACTTTAATGAAGTCCTTTTACAAAAAAATGTATAGTAAGCTTCATGTTTATTGGTGAATTAATGAATGCTTTGCCCTGCCCCGTAGGTCCAGGATCAAGGCAAGCATGTCTAGTTTCACTGATTGTATTCAGCATTGTACTGGAGGTCCTAACCATTGCATTACGACAAGAAGAAGCAATGAGAGGCATGAAGATTAGACAGAAAGAAGTAAAACTTATTTGTAGATGACACAATTGTACTTGTGGAAATCCCTAAGAAATATGAAAAATGACAACTAGAACTAATAGGTGAATTAATAAATTCAGGATATAAGTCACTTAAAATTTTATTTACCAGAGGCAAACAACTGGGAAATAACATTTTAATTTATTTATAATAACATTAAAAGAGAAAATATGTAGGAATAATTTAACAAAAGAAGTGTAAGATCACATCACTGAAAACTACAGAAGGATTGCTAGGAGATATTTTAAAAGTCCTAGCTAAATGTAGTGATAGAACATGTTCCTGAATTGGAAAACTCAATGTTCGGATGTCAGTTCTTCTTAAACTCATCTATAGATTCAGTGCAATTCCAGTAGAAATCCCAGTAATCTTTTTGTAGAAATTGACAAGCTGATTCTAATATTTATATGAGAATATAAATCACCTAGAATAGGCAAATGAATTTTTAAAAATGAGAGCAAATATGTAGGACTCACACTACCTGATTTGAAGACTTAGTGCTTAGCGTCAAGCTACAGTAATCAAGACAAGATGAAATTGGTGAAAGACAAACACAAGTTCAAAAGAACAGAATACAGAGACCAGAAATAGATCCACACATGTATAGTTCAATTATTTTAACCAAAGGTAACAAGATAATTCAATAGGTAAAGGAAGGTCTGGAACAAATGAATATCTTTATGGAAACAAATGAGGGTAGACTCTTACCTCACTGTGTACATAACACATACATAAGAAGACAATCCAATAAACAATTGGATGAAAGATTTGAATGAACTTTTAACAGAGGAAGACATATGAATGGCCAATAGACATATGAAAAGATATTCAAATTATTTGTTAGTAAGGAAATGCAAATTAAAACCACAATGAGAGGGACACCTGGGTGGCTCGGTTTGTTAAGCCTCTGACTCTTGATTTTGGCTCAGGTCATGATCTCACAGTTCCTGAGATAGAGCCCCATGTCTGGCTCCTCACTGACGGCTTGGAGCACACCTGGGAGTCAATCTCTCTGCCCCTTCTCTATGCTCATGCACATGCGCATGTGTGCCTGCTGTCTTTTTCCCCTCTCAAAATAAGTAAATTTTAAAGCCACAGTGAGATACAGTACATAGCACATACCCACTAAAATGACTAAAACAGAAAATTAAAGACCATCAACACAAGTGTTATTGAGGATATGCTGCAACTGTAGCTCTTGTACACCAATGGTAGAACTATAAAATGGTACAACTACTTTGGACAAGTTTTTGGCTCCTTCCTTAAAAGTTAAGTACATACCTATCATGTAACTCGGACATCCTTGTCTTCAGTTTTTACACAAGAGAGAGCTATACACCTAAAGACTTGTGTTCAAATGTTTATGGCAACTTTATTTACAGTGGCAAGAAACTGGAAGTGATGTTCATCAACAGATGAGTGAATAAACAAACTCTCATACATTCATAAAAATGAAATAAAAATGAAATACTCTGCAATAAAAAAGAGAGACCAAACCAGTCCATACTGCGTGAAATTGTAGAAAATATTAACCATTCTATAATGACTGACAGCACATCAGTGGTTATCTGGGGCCAGAGGTAAAAGGAAGGGATGAACTTCAAGTGGCCATAGGGGACTCTTGGAAGTGATAGAAACTTTCTGTCTTGATTATGATTGTGATTTCATGGGTGCATACATCTGTCAACTCATTGAATTAATACACTGTAAAATTAGTACAGTTTACTGTACATAAATTATTTCTTAGTAAAATTGAATAGAGTATATTGGAAATACTTCTAGGCAGAAAAACATCAAAGTGCACATGATTTTCTCAAGTTCTTCTTATTCATCAGTTATGCTTATGGCTGGACATAGTGAAGCCTCCATTTGAGGGTCCTGGCCCTCGTACTATTGTATTTATAGGAGACTGGGAAAGGGAATCATTGAACGTCTAATTAATTAACTATGGGAACTTCCTTATCTTGTTAGAAGAAGTTCAGTTACTGGAATCAGCTTGTTCTGTTGATGTAATTTTGACTTGCTCGGTAAGCTACTAAACGCGTTGTAGAGGGAGAGATGAGACTTGAGGCCAGGTTAATTTGTCCCTTTTCAACTTAGAAAGGTAGGGCAAATGTAAGTCTGGAAAAAAAAAAAAAAAAGATTGGTTGAAAGTGTGTAAATAGAGTTTCACTACCAGATCTCTTCCTCATCATG